TATTGATATGGTTGATGAGATTTTGCAGAAAAACACTTATGAGGATCCATTTGAGATTTACCTTATTCAAGCAAAGAACCCAATAAAAAAATACATAAATTGCTTGAACACATCATCTTCCTTGGAATCAAAGGAGGCACTCCTAGAAGAATTGGGAAGGCACATCTGCTGGCCTAAACCCAAACCACCTCAAAATAGTCATTGGAGAAAATCTTATGGTGGATTCAACTTAAGGGCAAGAAAGCCAAGATTTAAAAAAATGAGAGGACATGCCCTACGACCTGATCCAAAACCACCTTGGAGTGGTAGAAAGTCTAGCTAATGACTATAAATTCAGCGCTTCTTGGGAGGCAACCCAAGCATAAAATTTTTCTTTTCTTTTGTTTCTGTCTTTTATTTTAATAGTTTAGATTTTTTTTAAATCATTTTCTTTTTATGGCCTAGGTTAATGCATAAATTGTTGTTCTTTGATTTTGACTAGGTCATTGAACAAGTTTGGGGGACAAGATGATGGAAATTCACATACTAGAAGTCTCCTCTAAATGAAGACAACCACTACTGCAGGAATGGTATATTCAGACCAAACAATCAGTCCAGATATATTACCAATCGGTCTGAACATATATATACGGACCGATATTGGTCCTTATAGTTGATCTGAAAAAACCTGGTACGAATAAGTATAATATACAGACCGACATATAATCGGTCTGTATATATATACTATCTGGACCAAAATCGGTTCGGATATTTCAGTAAGAAATATAAATAATTATTGAGAAATTGAAATAAGCGGACCGAAATTGGTCCCAAAAAATTAATATAATAAAATAATAATATATATATACGAACCGACAACGATCTGTAACTGTGGCGGAAAGAGGCATCACAAATATATACGGACCGGGATCGGTCCGAATATTGAGGACCCAGCTGCAACTTTTAAAACTTTCGAATATATCCAGACCATTTTCGGTCCGAACATATTGGACTTGCTTGTAACTTTTAAAAGTTCCGTCTACCAACAGGCATCATTCTCAAACTATATCCAGACCGTTTTCGATCCGAACATATTGGACTTGCTTGTAACTTTTAAAAGTTTCGTCTCCCAACAGGCGTCATTCTATAAATATATCCAGACCATTTTCGGTTCGAATATTATGGACTTGCTTGTAACTTTTAAAAGTTCCGTCTCCCAACAGGCGTCATTCTATAAATATATCCAGACCGTTTTCGGTCCGAATATTGTGGACTTGCATGTAACTTTTAAAAGTTCCATCTCCCAACAGGCGTTATTCTCAAACTATATACAGACCGTTTTCGGTCTGAACATATTGGACTTGCTTGTAACTTTTAAAAGTTTCATCTCCCAACAGGCGTCATTCTATAAATATATCCAGACCGGTTTCGGTCCGAATATATCTTTGAAGAACAAAAAAAATAAAAACAGTAAAAAATAAAGAAAACAGATTTATTTTATTTAATAATTACACAATATTA